TGCAGAGGATCTCAAGCCTTGTAAGACAACCCTGATAGCTTTTAATGGAGAAAATACACCCCCTAAAGGCTATATAGATCTCAGGTTAACCCTAGGAACCACAGAGGCGTTCAAATCAGAACGCATAAGGTTCATCGTGGGTGACTTCCCCTCTCCATATAATATCATCCTTGGAAGACCAATCCTACATAAATGGGACATGATGGTTTCCACAAATCATCAAAAGATAAAGATGGTAAGCAACAAGAATAAATTCATCACCATTCATGGGGATCAAAAAGAGTCGAGAGAATGTTACTTTGAAGCTGTCAAGGAAAATGAAGGTGAGCACCTGAGTCCACCTCGGATTCGTCCAGGAGACAAAGTCGGGAAAAAGGTAACCCCTCACCATTCAAGTAAACCAATTAATATGGTTGAATTGGATATGAGGGAAGAAGTTGTTCTCCCTAGACCAGAACTAGATGGCGAACTAGAAGACCTTATGTTGGGAGACAAACTCGATCAGTTTACCAAAATTGGTAAGACCATCAACCCCAGTGTTAAGGTAGAGTTGACTGAATTCCTCAAAAGCAACAAAGATGTGTTCGCGTGGAAATCATCCGAGATCCCAGGCATTGATCCCAAATTCTGCTGCCACAAGTTGGAAATTTATCCCGGATCAACACCAGTGGCACAAAAGAAAAGAAAGATGGGGCCAAAGAGAAAACAGGTCTTAGAAGAACATGTCAAAGAGTTGCTTGATGCCAGGTTCATACGAGAAGTTCAATACACCACTTGGCTCGCCAACATCGTTATGGTAAAAAAGCCTAGAGGAAAATGGAGGGTCTGCACAGATTATACAAACCTCAATAAGGTATGTCTAAAAGACTCTTATCCTATGCCTAACATAGACCAGCTGATAGACAACTCTACTGGGTTCCAATTGCTATCCTTCATGGATGCTTATTCCGGCTACAATCAGATCCCAAAGTACCCAAAAGATAAAAAAACAGCCTTTATCACTGAAAGAGCAAATTACTGCTACAATGTGATGCCTTTTAGGCTTAAAAACTTTGGAGCCAGTTATTTCGGCCTCAGACCACCGCCATTCTTCTCGTCTCCTTGTTCTCTGTCTGGATCTGTGACTGTTTCACTGATCGGACTTCATTTGATAATCTGTTTGGTTGATTTTATCGCTGGTTGTTAATTTTTTTATTGAAGAATGGCCGAGAATGACAGTTCTTTGATCTTATCTGGTAAGAGCACACGTTCTACATCTCTTCTTGCTTCTTGCACTGATTTTAAAACCTCATGGATTTTGGATTCTGGTGCAACTGATCATATGGCTTGTCGTACTGAGTTGTTTTGTTCTTATCATCCTATTGTTGGTAGTCATACTATATCCGTAGCTGATGGATCCCATAAATCAGTTATTGGTTCTGGTAACATTCAAATTCAACCTTCCTTGTTTCTTAAAAATGTTCTTTATGTTCCTCAGCTTTCTACTAATCTTATCAACACTCAAAAACTTACAACTGATTTGAATTGTTCTATCATATTTTTTCCTTCTCATTGTGTTATTCAGGATCTTTCCATGAAGAAGACAATTGGAGTTGCTAATGAACAGGATGGGTTGTATCATCTCCTTCCAGACCATGCTAGCAAAAATCAGTTATTAATGACACGTCATCCTTCTACTGCAGAGTCTATGATTTGGCTCCATCACAAGCGTCTGGGAATCCACCATTTAGTCTTTTGAATTCTATGTTCCCTTCTCTGTTTCTCAATAAGTCAGTTGAGACATTTCATTGTGATGTTTGTAATTTGCAAAACACCATCGAGTGTCATTTCCTTCTAGCACTATTAAAAGCAGCAAACTTTTTTCTCTTATCTATTCTGATGTTTGGGGCCCTTCTAAAGTGCATAGTGTTTCAGGTGCAAGGTGGTTTATTTCTTTTATTGACGATTGTACTCGTGTAACATGGATATACTTGATGAAAGACAAGTCTGAAGTACCAGAGATATTTATTCGATTTCATCACATGGTTGAGACTCAGTTTGGTAAGGGTATTAAAAGACCAAGATCTGATAATGGTACTAAGTACGTCAACCAACGCCTGTCACAATTCATTTCAGACAGAGGTATGATTCATAAGCTCACATATGTTGATACCCCTCAACAAAACGGGGTTGCTGAAAGGAAAAATCATCACCTCCTTGAAGTTGCTAGAGCACTACTTTTCCAGACATCTGTTCCTAGTTCTTATTGGGGAGAAGCCGTGTTAGCTACAACTTTTTTGATCAACTGTTTACCTTCACGGGTCCTTAACAATATCAGTCCTATTCATTCCATGACTTCCTTCTTTCCTTCTGTTCCCATATTGCAGAGCCTTCCACCAAGAGTGTTTGGATGTGTTGCCTTTGTCCATGTTCATAAACAACATCGGAGTAAGTTGGATCCTAGGGCTCTTAAGTGTGTCTTCTTTGGTTATACCCTTTATAAGAAGGGGTACAAGTGTTATCATCCACCAAGTCAAAAAAAATTTGTTTCTATGGATGTCACCTTTCAAGAATCTGAATCTTATTTCCTGGGTCTTCATCGTCAGGGGGAGAACAGTTCTTCAGAAGACTCATCCCCTTCCTTCTTTGAGTCTGGATCAGTCTTGTCTGTTCCTAGTGTGTCTGCTCCTGGTGTGTCAGAACCTTCAAATACACCTGAGATACGAAAGATTTTGACACCTGAATTGGTATATCAGAGGAGGAAACAACCCATACTGTCTCACCAGCAACCTCAATCGTCTGAACCACTAATAAGTTCTGAATCTCCTGTTTCTTCTGAATCTCCTGTTTCTTATTCTAATATTATTACCTCTTCTGAATCACCAGCAACCCATACCCATTGCTTCTGCTTCTGATGACTTACCTATTGCCCCAAGAAAAGGGAAAAGATCTTGTCCCAAGAAATCTTATTCCTCCTGTCCCTCTTGTACTCAATATCCTATCTCCCAATTTGTTTCTTTTACTAATCTTTCTGTGCAGCACAAAAGCTTTGTTTCAGCACTAGATTCTATTTCAATCCCAAAATCAGTACATGAAGCATTGAAAGATGGGAATTGAGCTCAAGCCATGCAAGAGGAGATGAATGCGTTGGAGAAAAATAAAACATGGGAGGTTATTGATAGACCCAATGGAAAGAAAGCAGTAGGGTGCAGATGGGTTTATGCCCTGAAGTATAATTCTGATGGCACTCTTGAGAGATATAAAGCTCGATTAGTCGCCAAAGGTTACACTCAGACCTATGGCATTGATTATGAAGAAACCTTTGCTCCAGTTGCAAAGATGAATACGGTGATAGTCTTGTTATCCTTTGCTGCTCATTACAATTGGAATGTAAATCAATTTGACGTGAAGAATGCTTTCCTTAATGGTGAGTTAGAAGAAGAAGTCTACATGGAAATCGCTCCTGGTTTTGATTCTGTGAATGGAGAAAATAAAGTTTGTAGATTAAAAAAGGCCTTGTATGGATTGAAGAAGTCACCTCGTGCCTGGTTTGGAAGATTTACTAAGGTTATGATGACCTTAGGATACAAACAAAGTCAAGGAGATTACACTCTTTTCTTTAAGAACTCCCAAGATGGGAAACTCACTGTGCTCCTTGTATATGTTTGATGATATTATTATCACAAGTGATGATTTTGTGGAGAGACATATTCTGCAAACAAGACTAGCATCTGAGTTTGAAATTAAAGACCTTGGAAAACTGAGATATTTCCTAGGGACAGAAGTAGCTCATTCAAAAAAATGAATTTTTATCAACCAGAGAAAATATGTTCTTGATCTTCTCAAAGAAGCAGGAAAACTCGGGTGTAAACCCTCTAATACTCCTATTGAGCAGAATCACAAGATAGGCTATGAAGAGGAGGTTGATAAAGGACAATATCAACGACCAATTGAGAAATTGATATATTTGGCTCATACTAACTAGACCTAGCTTATGCTGTTAGTATTGTCAGTCAGTTTATGCACAATCCAAAGGAGAAACACATGCAGGCAGTGAAGAGAATTCTTCAGTATCTTAAAGCTACTCCTGGTAAAAGATTATTATTCCAGCGTAATGGCAATCTCTCTTTAGAAGTCTACACTGTAACAGCCTGTTGTACACCGTTATTGTTAACATTAATTATGATATTAAGCGCAGTTACAATCACACCAATTCATTTATAAAAATGCGAATAAACTTTTTCCGATTATTACGCGAGCATTTAAAACAATAAAAAGCGTAATAATTAAAAGCTGTAACCGTAACTGTAAACTCTTGCGGAATACTTATTTTAACTACTTTTACATCTTACTTTACTTATTATAAGTTACTAAGGGGTTCTCATAAACCCACTTAGTCAATTTCTCAACTTTACGTTTTTACCTTTTCGAACAAGGTTCACTAATTAATTTTCTGCGAACACACCACTACCAACCAGACCTTCCTCTCAGGTTATATTTTTGTCTTACTTAATTCCCTTTTTAACAAGCTGTCACACGCTGTAATCGGAGCTCGTTTGCTCCGGTTATCGCCGTTTGAAGTTGGAAAAGCAAAACTGCCAACCAACCACAAAACAGCTCCAAACGTCTCTCACTCCATGAATTACTGCAGAAAATACACTTAACCAATTTCTCTCAAATTTTTATACAATAAACTAGACAGCTCAAGCTTCGATTTGATTTATCATACACCTAATTTGACACACAGAAGAAGCGGGAATAAATTTCCCAAAACCGGTCCAGTACAGCCCCCAAGTGCAGGGCAAACAGGGAAGCTGTGTTCACAGTCCTCCCAAGGCCAACGCCCACCTCAGAACAATCTCATATTTTATCACAGTGTAGAAGGCACTACAAGCTTCAAAATGGCGTATGACACGTCCCTAACGGACCTCTGTGGTGGGAGATATGTTCCCCTAAAGTTCACCTAAAAATTTGCCAATTTCCCGAAAAATTCGCCGAAGTTTCCTTTGTTTTTCCAACATTTCACAAATTTGTACAAGTGGTCTATGACCTCAAATGGTACCTAATAATCAGTGGGTGGCACACACAAGGACCAGCAATGCCTTGGGGCTCTTACAACCCACAATATACAACAATTCCATATCATATACAGTAGTATACATACATGATCCATAACTCTATATATATCATATAAAAAAGGTGGCTCTGTGCCATAACTACAACATCCTACATCAACCTACATAAACATAATACATCACAGTGTCACAAATATATACAACAGACTCCCAAAATAAGCAGGCAACATCTATGCTCAGATCTACTCATCAACCATGGGCCTCTTGCCCCGAGAACGATCGTCAACTGCTGCGATACCTGAAATATATCCCCATAACGCGGGGTGAGAATGAATCTCAATAAACTTGGGGTTTATGGAGAAGTCTCCACCCAAGAGTCCACTTCCTGCAAGAAAATATCAAGTACCAAGACATAGATAACACCATATAATCCATATTAGAATTTCTGTATCATATATCTTTTCTAATAAATCTCATTTATTCTTATAATGTACTTTCTTATTAATCTTAAGTATGTTCATGTCTTATGTATAAATAAGGCTTCCATCTTATATTCGTAATGTCGTATCATATTCAATAACATACTCATAATGATTAGAGAACTAAAGTTTCCTCGGCTATACCTTATGTATACCGTGATCATATCCATAATTATTTCCTCTGTTCAGAAACCATAACTTACACTTCCAAGGCTTTATTTCATTGAAGATCATATCATATTAACTTATCATGACATAAATAATATCATATGCATGCACTATATGAATGCAACTACGCAAAGTATCAATATTAACAACAATTATATCCATACGGAAACCATAATCGCCACTGATCATGGCGGAACAAAAAGGCTGAGAAAACTCCTAAACCGAAAGCTTACCTGTCACCTCTTTCTTGCTGCTAATTTGCTATTTAATACACCGCACACTTGGTTGTCTATAAGTTGTTCGTCCACTTACTTCGTCTGATTACACTCTGTTACCGAACATATAAAAGTACCATTAATTTCCAATGAAACATACATTACTTGAAATCCAAATAATTATATTTCATATGTTAATTTCATAACCAACTCGACAACTCTATTTTCCTTGACAGTTCATTCCATATGACAAGTCTACACTTAATTTATACTTTATAACTTTGACCCTCAACTAGTTAATTACTTTACTAAATTATAGTTGACATTTCATGCACTTTTAACAAAGCTTCACGTATCTTAAACCATTTGAATCATACTTACTTATTCTAGGAAAATGCTATAAATCAATCACTTGAATTGAAAACACATAATCTATGCCCATTATTCCTTTATGGCCGAATTCTATATATAAACACATATACAATTCTTTTGGTTGTCATGTTTAACCAATTAGCTTAATTCTTGTGAAAGCATTCGTACACTATTATTCCATTAACTTGACATAAAACTAACATCAATTTCCTTATCCATTTAATACATATTGGTCGAATAGTTACATATACATATACTCATGGATTTACCATTTCATCTTAGTTAATTTCTTGTTTGATCACTAAGTAGTCTTATATAAATTATTACATAACTTTTTATCAAAACTCTAACATAAACATAGTCTACATCCTAGACTTAATTAAGATTTCACACTTTATGTTTGGTTCAAATACTAGCCAATCATCATTAAATGCCCTAAGGATCATTGTTTTACATAACCAATGAATTAAACACTTAATTTGCACAATTAATTCTAAAGGGCCAAAATACACACACTTTTACAGCATCAACATCCTGTGCCATTTTAATCACGAAAAATTAATCTTAACTCCGATTCCCCTGAATTTTGGATATGTTATAGTAGACACTTAAGGCTTTAATTTGGCGCAAACCACAATCCATTTGGAGTCTTGTAGCTTCAGATATGGATTTTTTAACATAACGGCCCCTATGTTGATCCTAAAAGGTCCATAAAGTTCTTTTGAAATTCATATACTTCATTCTTTTTTACAAACCAACTCTAAATCATATTACACTTACATTTCCACATACAACTTGATTAAACACATCCTTTAACTATTTTATCACATGATGACCGATTTGCCTAACTCAAGGTTTAATGAATTCTCTTTCAATTTTTCTATCACTTGAACCTTTAATTTGTCATCTCAATTTCATGTATTTCACTTAGGAAATATTACAAACACTTGATGTGCACATCTTTACACCCAAAATCTGAACCATATAGAGTTCATTAAACTCATCCCTTATGTGATATCAATTTCTTTTTTTGTAGTAGAGAAAACCAATCCATCACAACAACTCATTAACCAACTTAAACATAACCACTTAAATTCATCATTAAACCAACATCAAAATTATCATCATAAACAGCCCTATATCATGAATATCATCATCATTTCTAAGAGTTTCATCAAGGAAGTGAAGGTTTAATACCTTAGATAGCCTAACCAATAACTATTGATGACTTCCCTAAGCTTAGAACTATGGAATCAATCCATTTTCTCCTTCCTTTCCATGTGCAGGCGCTGCTGTCCAGAGGAGAAAAGAAGAGATTTAAAGCTTCCCAAAGTTAGAAAAATGGTGGGTTAGGATGATAGGGTGCTAAGCTACCTTTTCTATGTTGGAGTCTAGATGAAATGGTGACTAAATCATCAAGTTCTCTCTTGCTCTTTCTCCATTGAAGGTCATGAACTAAGGAAGAAGAAAGAAAGGGGAATGCAGCGTAAAAAAAAAAAAAAGAACGAAGGAAAAGGGACCGCCTAATTGAAGTCAAGTAGTCTTAGTTTATTTATTTATTTTTTGACTAACATGTCACTTTCTCATTGGTTTAAACAACCAAACTATTTGCTTGTTGCTTTCTTCCTAAACTCTACGGCCCACATAAGTGATAAGAAAGAAAAGAAAGCATAAAAACTTCATGAAGCAGCGTACAACAATTTGGTGAATGACTTTTAATGAAACTTGGTGATAAAGTACTCAACTCCACCAAATATAGATTTGTCAACATTAAATACTATTGGTTCTTTAATTCTTCATTTGACTAATCAACTATCATCTTAAATATTTATTGGTTCAATTCTATCAAATTTCCTCATCTTTTTTACTAAAGTTACGTACATGACAATTTAAAGAAGACACAACATTGCAACTTAAATAATTAAGACTAAGAATATTGTTTGACTTTTTACTAATCAAAACTCATCTTATTGCTTAATAATTAATCCATCTTTTCCTTAATTTTAATAATTAATCCAAGCATCATTTAAATAATTTAAAGATACTTTAAACTTACTAATTTCTCTAAACTAATTAATTATTCAACCTAAATTATATTTAGG